ATGTGAGGGAAGCAGGGGCTGTGCCACTGCCAGGGGGACAAGATTTGTCTCCTCAGTGGCCTATTTTTCCAAGGCCTCCTTGCGCAAATCCAGCCCTGGGGCCCTCTCACCTGTCAGAGAGGCTAGAGTCCCTGAAACTAGGCAGGACGCTTCCCAAAATTTTCAATTCACCATAAATCTAGCCTTCACTGATTTTCCCCAGGGATATTATAAGGTGCCCAGGGGCAGAGTTCCTGTCTGTCTTGTTCATGTTTCTCCATATTTTCCTAGCATATACTGAGTTCTCATGAGTGCTCACCCAATGATAAGGAGAAATAGAATAAAGAGAACAACAACAACAAACAAACACACAAAACACAGCAACTCGGCTGCTGTAAACAACAAGAATCTAGTCACTAGCCATAAGGGGGCAGTGTCTCTACCCACAGTTAACCTACAAGGTTAGCTCAAAACTGAGAGGAACCTCTAGTTACGGATCAGAGTGGATGACACATGCAAGAGATATTAACACCACGATGATATTTACAGTGCTACCGTAAGCCCAGGGCAGTTCACTGGGGCAAAAGCCCTTTTTGGGAAAAAATTGTCTGTTGAAAGACTTCTGATGGAGATGTTTCTTGAAGGTTTACTAATACTCTTATGGATGCATCTGACATGTGAGTGTTGGAGCTTTCTAAATTTGCACAGAGGACTCTAAAGGGGTGGGAATTCTTGGAATGCAAGAGATGAGGTCTATGAAAAGAGGGAAACAGGAAGAAAAGTGAGGGGGGGGGAGAAAAAAAAGCACTGACTGAGGCAGGGCTATGGAATTAGTAGAGTGTTCATCATAGCTTTAAGAAAGGGGTTCTAAAAATGACCTTGCACACGTTTTTTTGTCTTACTGTACAGGGGTGAGTGGCCAACAGCTGACTCAGAGTCCTCAGTCCATGTCCATCCAAGAAGGAGAGGGTATCTCCATGAGCTGCAGCTCCTCAAGCTCACTCGATGCCTTGCAATGGTACAAACAAGATGCGGGAGAAGGCCCTGTCCTCGTGCTAGTCTTATATAAAGGTGGTGAATTGACCAGCAAGGGGACACTGAAGGCTCACTTTGGCCGAACAAGAAAGGACAGCTTCCTGAACATTTCAGCCTCTGAGCCTGCCCATTCAGGCACCTACTTCTGTGCTGGGAGGCACAGTGCTCCCCTAGCACCTGCAGCTGCACGCAAACTTGCAGCGATGACCTCAGTCACTCTGCTGCCTCTAGCTGCTGCTCCTCTTGGCATGGAATGTGGTCGTGCATACAACCCATGTCCCCTGCCCTTCCATTACTGTGAATTCTCATGTATTCAGGGCTTTATCTTCCAAATAAGAATATAAGAACACAATAATCAATGCTACACCAATACATGTTAATGTGTACAATAAATAATTAACTTTGTAAGAAAATGGTCATGCTGAACTCAAGAAGAGAGAGAAAAATTAAATAGGCCAATGACATGAAGTAAAAGTAATAAAAAATGACAACCAAGATTGGAGAAATTTATGGCTGAAATTTATAAGATTTTCTAGTAACAGATGACTCCTATATTGTTAGAAATGTTCTAAAACATAGAAAAGTAAAAATATCAAACTCATTCCGAAAAGTTAGTATTACCTTGATATCAGAACTTACAAAGAGTGGTAGATGCACATACAAATTATATGATGATTTCAAATATATTGTACATAGGCCTCAAAAGTCCAAAATAAACTACTAATGAATCAAATTCAGTGTTTAAATAACATACAAATCAAATACCATAAAAATTGCCCAATTTATATAATAAAGGAACATCAAGTCATCATTTCAATAGGTGAAAAATAAGTACTTGATTAGTGTTAAACATTTTGTCAGTTAACAAGACAAGGAAGATGCAGCAATTAATAACCTGTACTGGTCCAGGACTAAACATGTGAACAATGAAATTACAAAGAGACTATAAATAGTTCCATATAAATGAGTGTTAAAATGAAATGTGGAATTGTAACAAAAAAGGAAGAAAAATTAGGCCTTTTCAGTAAATGGTGTTGGTTCAACCGAATATTCTTGTGACTATCTCATGTCATAATAACATTCCATTTGAGATGTATTATATATAAATATAAAGAGCAAAATTCTAAGATTTCAGGAAATAATACAAAATGGTACACAATAACATTCAAGTAGAGAGACATTCTAAAATAAGAAATACAAAGAATTAAGCAAGAATCTACATCAAAGTACATATGTAAAGAGTGAAAAGTCAAGTCACAAATGGAAAAATACTTTTCACTAGTATTTAACTAGCAGAAAATCTAGTCTCCATTTGGAAGGAATGGGTTAAGAGCAGGTGAGTACAGTTCATCCCTTCATTCTGTTTTCACACCACCTGAGTTAGAGTGATTGTAGACATCCTCCTGGTAGACATTCCAATGCAATTATTAGATGGAGTATAAGTGAGAGGCCTTTGGGGGCTGTCGTGAACACACTCTGCTATGTTACATTAGAACTGTTTACTGTAATGAAGCTTGAAATTTATGAATTGATAAAATGCAGCTGGCTGAAGAATGGAAATTAATCATATAACCAATCTAGCTAAGTATCCTGAGAGATAAGAATTTTTGGAAAACCCAGAATAAATAGTAACGTTGTGTGCTAAGATTACTGATCTCACAGCCACCATTCATACACTGAAAAGAAAGAATGAAGGAAATTTTCTACACCTACTAAGAAATTATAAACTAAAACTTCTCAATAACCATGATACTAAGCAGAAAACTAGATAGTGTACTAAGCAATCAGTAAATGATTAAATAATTGTATACCTACACTACAGAATACTGTCCAGCCATCAAAGAGAAATAAGATAGATCTGCATATAATGATGTGGAAGTATATTTAAGATGCACAGTTCAAGTGAAAAGAACAAGTCACAGAACAATATAATATAAAACAAAATTTCATTTTCTTTAAAAATGAAAATTCCTTTAAATTCATAACTAAATATGAACACCTATTCTCCCTTGATCTCTCAACCTAGCTCTTTTTCTTTTTGCTCTCATTCAGCTCAGTAGGACCGGGGTCATGGCAGGAGGTAACCATTTCCTATAGAGATTATAAATATCTCATCTTCTCCAGAACTGAAAAATTAAACTCCACATTCCTATTGCTAAAGCCAAAATGTCCATTTGCATGGAACAGAGGAGGCTTTCTAGGAGAAACAAATAAATAAATAAGAAGTAATGAGACTTTTGATGTGAAGAGATAAAGGGTATTTTTCAGGGAAGTCAAGGAATGCTGAAGTGTCAGAAAGGAGGCAGATATTAAATGACAAGGCTCTTGATGCAAGAAAGGATTAAGGATGGGCAAGTGGTAGGAGGGGGCAAGCTGCTAAGGACACAGTTTAAGTGCTCAAGAGCCAAGGTAGATGATAGTCTTCCCAACTCTCTAGCCCTATCTCCAGGTGTGTAGCGAGGAAGTTCACTGCCTATGAAGCCTCTTCCACATAAATTTCCAGATTTCATGCAAGTTACCACTCTGCAGCAAGAGCCCCTTCAACCCTCAGCTCAGCTTGAATACATGACCTTCCAGGTTCTTCAGAAAGCTCATGGTCAGATGGAGTTTTGAACATTAACAATGGTTAGGAGTTTCTCTAGCAACCACACACCCAGAAGGGCAGGCAGGCTGGACACCTAAACTGAGGGTTTTAAAAAGTCATGAACCGTCCTCCTCACCACTGATAAAGTTAAACAATGTTTCATAAAAAATTGTATGAGAAAATGAGGAAAGAAATCAGCTTTATTTTTGCACAAATAAATGACATATTTTATTAATAAAGAAAAGAGAGTTCTGGATGGTGTCATGTCAGAGATACAGGGGTTAGGATTATGGACAATTTGTATTTCCTTCTTAGTGCTTCTCTGTATTTCCCAAATAGTCTGCAATGTGAGTATATTTCTTATGTAAGCAGAAGAGTATTATTTGCAAAGAATAAGTAGAATTTGCTTTCCTTTAGCTTAAAAAAAGACAAACTCACATCACAATGCAATGCTGGAATACTTACCGAAAAACATGTGAACAAGTACACCATAGTAATATCTAGCACAAAATGTGTTCTCAAGTTGAGTTGGTACATTCTGGAAAGAATATAAATTTAGTGCAAAGATTTAAAGAAAATAGAAGTCTACAGAACAAGTGAATCGAATAAGTAATGGATCCCTAGGTAGAAAACATTAATCAGATGTATTTAGTAGGAGAGGAGGGTCTCAGTGGATTAGAAATAGCATTACTGGTGTAATGGCTTGCTTTTTGTTTTGACTAAGACATGATAAAATAGAAAACTCTTTAACATGTTCATTTCACCTAAATATACCCTGTGAATTAACAGAAATCCCAGTTTATCAGAAACGCTGCTTTCTAAATATATGTTCCAAAATAATGAGATCAATAGTGAACGTTCTAAAGAGCTATTGGAAAGGCCCTTAGCTTTCTCCCCAACTTTCCCCCCATTCCAACCGTCCACAGAGCTTCAGCCCTTCACCTCTTCACCTCACAGTGCAGGCTCTAACTTGCGCTAACCAACTTCCCGGTGTGCTGTTCCTCTCTGCCTTCACTGAGCCTTGGAGCCACAGGTAAAGCCATGCTTAACATAGGGTCACCTGTCCTTCAAGGGTGAGACAATTTCAGAAGGTTGAATAATCATTGATAAAACACTCAGACCCAAACTTTCAGCTTTTCTGCACTTGCTCACAAGATGGCAGTGCTCTCCTTCTAGCTCCCCTGAGTGCTAGAGTGGGAGGGACTTGAATTTTATTTAGGAATCAATGATACTTGCATTTCTGGTTGGCTTCATAGCCAAACTGCTATTTCTCTTTCTGTGTGTTTCGTGTGTGTATTTATGTGCATGCTGGGAGAAGAGAGTGTTGGTTCAAAAAAGAAGAGGGAAAGCTCAGGGCAGTGAATCCCGTTTTACCCAGGAAAACAAACCCAAGGACTGAAGAATGGAGAAGGGGCCCCGAGCTTCGCTGGCGATCTTATGGCTTCAGCTGAGCTGTGAGTAGCACTACTGCAAACGGTCAGAGACAACCGGGAAAACTGAGGATTGATGCTCAAAACATTCAGAGAGAAAAGAGGAATTCAGGTTGACTTCTCTGGGCGCACATAGGGTTTTAATGAAGAATAATCATGATTTCTGAGAAAGCTTGACCTGACATCACTCTCTCTAACTTTAAGTGTTGATTTTTTCCTAAACAGGGGTGTGCAGTGATGATAAGGTGATACAGAGTCCCCCATCTCTGCTTGTCCATGAGGGAGACAATGCAACTCTCAACTGCCGTTACGAGGTGTCTGGGTTTCAAAACCTACAGTGGTATAAACAGGAAGAGAATTCTCCAATATTTCTGTTTAGGCTCTTTGCAAGTGGGATTGACTATGGAAGAATGAGAGGCACGTTAGATAAGAATGAACGTCTCAGCACCCTGCATATCACAGCCACCCAGCCCGGGGACACAGCCACCTACCTCTGCGCAGTGGAGGCACAGTGCTCTCTTGTCTCCTGCAGCATGTACATAAAAGCTACAGCTGAGGATCCTGCAACTCTTAGATGAAAAGCTGCTAAGTTGGGTGTGCCCTCAAAAATAAGCTACAAAGAAAGCAACTCTTGGTCAAGATCCTCATCCCCCTGTTAACAATTACACAGTTTCCTGAGTCCTATCCCAGGCTGAGTCATGTCACTGCACTCACAACTTTTTCTCTGTTTTTCTATGGCACTCAGTGAAGCTAAGTTTGTAGATGGTCATTCATGTGCTACCAAGTCCATTACCAGCCATGACATCCTGTGGAAGAAAGAGAGTCCTTTTGCCAGGATTGCACCACACACTTGTATGTGCACCATCCACCATGAACTCACCTGACAGCATAGTGCATGAAAAGTCCTATTTATCTTTGGTTTTATCTTCCTACCTAGCACAGGCACATATAAGTAGAGTTCTTCTCGTAACTTTTATTACTGGACTTACTAACCAAGAATAGAGGGCACAAAACAGAAGTTGCCCTTACTTATTTCAAACAAAATATTTTCCTCCCCAGTTGCAGGATTCTTACTCTCACCCTGTAGGCCCATTGTCTACTCTAGGTGTTTCATGAGAGTGCAGCCAGAATTTCCTCAAGATATTACACATTAATTTAAATACTTATTACCTCTGCAGTCTCCCAAAAGAAAGGCATTAGCTAAATGAAGTTATGCAAAACTAACACAACTGTGTTATTTTATGGTATATTCTTTCAAAGAAATATGTAATTATATGTGTTTTATATTACTTCATTGAATTTTCATAACTCTGATGGATCATTGTTCATGTTCTCAGTTAATGGATTGGAAAATCCAAACTCTGAAAAATTAAGGTTCCAAGAACCCCAGACAAATACATAAAAACTTTTGAAATCAGGTCTATCCGATTCCAAAGTCAATGCTTCCTCCTTTATATACCCCATGTTAAACATCACAGGGGGAAAAAATGTACCTACCTTTACCACAATTACATACCAGAAAACTATAGAAAGATAGAAAAGAAAATGGAAGAATGTATCATGTTCATGGACTTGAAGAATTATCATCATTAAAATGTCCATACAACCCAAATCAATTTGTAGCTTCAACCCAAAGTCTCTTAAAACACCAATGACATATTTCACAGATATAGAACACACAATTAAAAAATTGTTATGGAACCATAAATGACCTGAATAGCCTCAGCAATTTTGAGAAAGAAGAACAAAGTAGGAGGCATCACAATACCTGATATCAAACTATGTTAAAGGGCCACTAGAAAAAGCAGCCTGGTACTTGCATAAGAACATACTCATAGATCAATGGAAGAAAATAGAGAGCCCATAAATAAACCCATATCTCTATGGTTAATTACTATTCAACAAAGGGGACAGGAGCAACATAACATTGAGTAAAAATAGCCTCTTCAACAAGGGGTGTTGGGAGATCTGGACAACTACATGTAAAAAAATGAAACTCCACCACAAACTTACACCATACACAAAAATAAACTCAAGATGGATAAAAGATTTAAATAAAAGTTGTCATACCATCAAAGTCCTAGAGGAGAGCTTAGGCAGGAAAATTTCAGATATTCCATGCAGCAATATTTTCATTGCTATGTTCCCTAGAACAAGGGACATAAAGGAAAAAATAAACAAATGTTAGTTCATCAAATTTAAAACCTTCTGCCTGGATTAAAAAAATCAGCGAAATGAAAAGTGAACCAATCATATGGGAAAATACATTTGCTATTTCTACCTTGGACAAGGGCTTGATCTCTAAAATACATAAAGACCTCAGATGACTCCACTTCTGGGAGACAAGCAATCCAATTAAAAATGGGCAAAGAATGTGAACAGACACTTCTCCAAAGAAGACATACAGAGGGCCCAGAGACAACTGAAAGACTGCTCAGCAACACTAGCCATCAGAGAGATGCAAATTAAAACCACAGTGAGATATCACCTCAAATGAGTCAGAATAGCCATCATAAACCAATCAACAAACAAGTGCTGACGAGGTTGTGAAGAAAAGGGAACCCTAGTACACTGTTGGTGGAAATGCAGACTGATGCAGCCATCGTTGAAAACTATAGAATTTCTTCAAACAATTAAAAATGGAATTGTCTTTTGACCCAGCAATTCCACTGCTGGGATTATACCCTAAGAATCCTGAGACACCAATTCCAAAAACCTTGCACCCCAATATTCATAACAACGTTATTTACACTAGCCAAGTGCTGGAAACAGCCTAAGTGCCCATCTGTAAATGAGTGGATCAAAAAACTATGGTACATTTATATAATGAAATACTATGCAACAGAAAGAAAGAGTTACTACCCTCACTACAGCATGAATGGAACTGGAGGGCATTATGCTAAGTGAAATAAGACAGACGGTGAAAGACAGATACCATATGATCTCACCTATAAGTGGAAACTAATCAGCAAAGCAAGCAGGCAAGGAAAATATGAACAGCAAGATTGAAAGAAAGAAGATACCAACGGGGATGGGAGGGAGGGAGGGAGCGGGGTAGTGGGGAGGGGAAGGAGCAGGGTCAGATTAAGGAACAGGGGTGAAGGACACATGGAAGAAGCCAAGTTGGGAAGGATTGAGGGGGGATGGTGGAGGTGGGTAGGGCAGTGGAAAGTGATGGCGGCTAAATGGAGACAAAGGTATTTGAAAAATTTTTTTAAAAAAGAAATGAATAAATTTTTTTAAAAAATAAAAAAAAGAGAAAGAATCTAATTGCAGAATGGTGGTTTCCAGTAGCTGGGGAGAGGGAGAAATGGGGACTTATGAATCAATGGTGATAAAGTTTCAGTTAAGCAAGATGAATAAACTGCAGAGATCTGCTTAAAAAAAAAAAAACATAGTGGTAAATCTGTTTCTAAGGTAAATATTTTTAATGTTTTTTATTGATTATGCTATTATAGTTGTTCCAAAATTTCCCCTTTGCCTTCCTCCACCTGGTACCCCCATTCCTTCCAGTAATTCTTCCCCCTTAGTTCATATCCATAGGTCATGCATATAAGTTATTTGGTTTTCTCCATTTCCTATACTATTCTTAACATGCCCCTGTCTATTTTGTACCTACCAATTTATGCTTCTTAATCTGCACCTTTTCCCCATTCACTCCCTTCTCCCTCTCAGCTGATAACCCTCCAAATGATCTCTATATCTATGATTCTGTTCCTGTTCTGGTTGTTTGCTTAGTTTGTCTTTTAGATTCAGTTGTTTAGACACTTGTGAATTTGTGATAATTTTAATGTTCCTAGGTTTGACCTTCTTTTTCTTAAATAAGTCCCTTTACCATTCCATATAGTAAGGGCTTGGTGATGATGAACTCCTTAAGGTTTATCTTGTCTGGGAAGTACTTTACCTGCCCTTCCATTCTAAATCATAGCTTTGTTGGATAGAGTAATCTAGGGTGTAGGTCCTTGTTTTGCATCACTTTGAGTACTTCTTGCCATTCCCTTCTAGCCTGCAAAGATTTTTGGGGGAAATCACCTGACAGTCTATGGGAATTCCTTTGTAGATAGGTCTGGTTTTCTCTTGCTGCTTTTAAGATTCTCTCTTTATCTTGAACCTTTGGCATTTTAATTATGATGTGTCTTGGTGTGGTCATCTTTGGGTCCAACCTGTTTGGGATTCTCTGTGGTTCCTGGACTTTTATATCTATTTCCTTCACCAAATTAGGGAAGCTATTTTTAATTATTTTTTCAAATAAGTTTTCAATCTCTTGCTCTTCCTGTTTTCCTTCTGGTACCCCTATGATTCAGATGTTGGTATGTTTGGAGAGGTTGCAGTGGCTCCTTAACTTATCCTTGTTATTTTGAATTCTTTTTCCTTCGTGTTCTTCTGATTGAATGTTTTTTCTTCCTTATGTTCCAAATGGATCATTTGATTTTTTTCTTCATCCCCTCCACTGTTGGTTCCCTGTGGATTTTTCTTGATTTCACTTAATGTAACTTTCATTTCTGCTTGGGTATTTTTATGTTGTTGCTGTACTCAGTGAGTACTTTGACCATCATGATCACCAGTGTTTTGAACTTTGAACCTGATAGGTTGGTTATCTCTATTTTGTTTAGTTCTTTTTCTGGAGTTTTCTTCTTTTCTTTCATATGGGCCATATTTCTTTGTCTCCTCAATTTGGCAGCATCCTTGTGTGTGTTTCTCTGTATTAGGTAGAGCTGCTATGATTCCCTCTCTTAGTAGTGGGGTCTATGGCAGAGAAGGCACCTGTAAATGGTGTGGAGCAGAGTCTTAGGTAATCACCAGGGTGGGGCCACCCATTTCACCCCTCTGTGGCTGTCTGTGGGAGAGCTCAGAGAAGGACAATGCCTCTGCCTAGCTTCGGAGGTATGCCTGGGGGGAAGATGTCTCCAGGCACTAGCCCTGTTTCCAGTCACTTCACTTTCTCCCTATATGCCACTGGTGCCCTTCCAGCTGTGGCCCTAGTACTGAATCTCAGCACAGGTGGGTATATATAAGTCCTAAGTTTGTTCAGACTTTTAAAAGGAGTCCCCAGAAAATCTGGAGTTTCTTCCATACCCCAACCCCCGCTGGTTTTACAGTCAGGAAGCATGAGGATTTATCTCCCAGGTGTTGGAACCCTGGGCTGTGTGGTCTGGCCTGGGGCTAGGTTCCCTCTATTTCAAGATACACCTCCAAATTTTTATCCATCACATATAATGTGTTGACTGCCTCTTTCCACCACTTTCCAGTGTCCCTCCACCTGTCTATGTGTCTCCAACTATCATACCTGAGTGGATGAATGTGGATTGTTTAAATCCTTGGTTGTTGGACTTCCATACAGCTTGATTTACTGACAGTTCTGGGTGACATTTGTTTTGTGGTTTAGCTGTAATTTTTTTCTGTAGTTGTGCAAGGAGGTGAAGTATGTTTACCTAGGCTTCCATCTTGACCAGAAGTCTAAGGTAAATATTTTAAAGTGAAAAAAAAAAAAGAAGGAAGAAGAGAGAGAATGTATTTGTTTTCTCATTTTAAGACATAGAAAGGAAAGATTTAGAAACTGACCAATGACTAATCACTC